AAGTTTGGTCATGTACCTAAGACGTTAAGTCCCAGGATCTGGTTTGCAGGCATATGAAGCTACCACCTTGTTGAAGCTAAGCAGGCATAGGTCTGATTAGCATCTGGATGAATGATCACCTGGGAACCACATGTATGCCACCTTAAGTTCCATGACAACAAGAAAGGTGGGATACAAATGTCAGAAAACAAACAATCAGATCTTTCCTACTGGCTCCTAAAATCTTAAGAATTATTGTAAATGTCAATATTCACTACGTTTCTGACAACTATTCATATTTTTATCACACCTGAAAAAATGCTGGGCATGTTTACACTTTCAAAAAGGCGTTGATGAAATAATTACAGTAAGATCATTATGAAACAAATAGAAAACACAGCAGAAATATAGCTCTATAGGAAAACTGAATTGGAAACTTGTGCATGATAGAAAGCTACAACATAGAAGATTCAATTCTTTCTCTCTTCTCTGCCTCTCTCTCTATTTTGTTAATCCCAGTGTTATTTTTCAATTCATTGGGTCCCAGCTTCTCCAGCAAACTGGATCAATTTGAAGCTACTCATTCAAAAGCCTTCTTAACAGCCAGTTCTAGAATTCAGCGTGACAGATGAGACAGGGAGTCAGCTTCATTCTCAGTCACAGTCAGCTGCAGGCAAAACTCTCTCTCTCTCTCTCTCTCTCTATATATATATATATGGGAAACTATTGCTCTGGTTTGAAGGAAACATTCAAAGGAAACAAAACAGTGCCCGGTATTTTGAATACATTAATGGAACAGAGGAACATGGTTGCCTACCACAATATAGCTCATTAGTGCATACTTCAGTTTCTACAGCCAAACTTTCACCATATAGAAAATTCTACCCTTAATCCACATCTTGGCTCAGCAAGCTTCCTGGTAGTGCATGAGGCTGTTTCTTCACTATTTAATCCTTTCCTTAAGAGGCTAAGATCAGTGAGTGGTTTGTTTGTGTGCATCCTTCACGGCCTGGAATAGCATAGTGACATGTCTGTGTATGGACAACCACTCTATCCAACATGGCAACAGAAGCATGGTATCTACTAAGAGTAAATAAGCCCCACATTTGCAGCAACAATAGTGGAAGAGATGACCTTTCACCTTCACTCCCAGCTCCCCCAAAGTGGACCCACTCAGCCTGCAGGGCTTACTGAGAGCGGCTCATCAGTTGTATCAGTGTATTTTTGGTCTCTGTGGAAGCCGCCCAGAGTGGCTGGGGAAACCCAGCCAGATGGGTGGGGTACAAATAATAAATTATTATTATTATTATTGGTTCTGCCATGCCTTGGTAATGATTACCAACCTCCAGCAGAACAAGTATTTGGCGGGGGGGGGGGGGGCTACTCACTTAATAGGAGAAGGAATGTTCACTTTCCACTTCTTTTTCCTTTTCTGTTTCTTATTTCAATAATACACAAACATTGTGTCCTTATTTCATACCCCATTAAAATTAGCATCCACTGATTAGTCAACTAGTGCAAGTGTTGCCAGCCTTTTTGAGTTCATGGGCAGATTTGAAAATTAGAGAAACTGTCACAAGCAACACACAAATCCTGCAACAGCACTTGCACACTCCCTCTCCCACTAGTCCACCAGCATTTAAGCTTGGGACAAGTGCTTTTGCTTTTTAAAATTCTAATTTCTTAGGGGGTACAGCTATGGTGGCAGGAATTAACCTCTCCTCCTCAGGTGAAATCTCCAGGAAGATCAAACCATTAGGCTTGAAAAGAGATTAATCTCTACCTCCTCAGCGGAAACCCCCAATATTTCCCCTTCCCTAGCTGCAAGTAGGCTTAAGACAAATTGCATTGTATTGACTACAACAGAAGTCTTTTTTCAAACCTAATTGCAGTGGGAGTCGGGGGCGTGTGTGGAATCACACCTGGGTTGAAGCATGATACCCTGTTCACAATCTGTTCTCCTCTGTTGTAAACAGATCGCTTCAAAGAAGTCTGCCCTTGGCTACATTTGAAGGCTTGTTTCAAGCCCAGTTTCAGAGGATGGGACACTGTGGGTGCCCATGAAAGCCTCTGTGGGTGCCAGGGTGCCTGTGATCACTGTGTTGGCAGTCCATGAACTTGAGCATTCAAACATTCATTGATTAACCCCGCTGAAGAAACCTGTAGCCCTACTGCGGTTGTTTGTGAGCAGGGGAGAAAAAAGCAAAACAAACTCAGTGGGCTGCAAACTGACTGAAGCTAAAACAGAGTTTAAAAGAGCAGAAAACACAGACAATTATGGGAAAGGGCACCGCAGCCTTCTGCCAACATGACTTCAGCATATCATGTCTGCAAGCACTTTACCAGGGGGGAAAGGATCATTTAAAAATGTAGATCAGGGGAAAAATGCTCACAAAGGTATTCTGGATTCTAAAAGAGGGCATTAAACAAGACTTTGCTTCACAAGCCATTAAAATGGTCCATATAACCTCCTGGTATGCAAGCGCTTGATGTGTTAATAGCTTGTTACCTATTAACCTTGACTGCATTCTATCATCCTCAAACATCTTCTGTTGAAGTTCAGATCCAACCTTTTCATTATTGCACTAGGAGCTATAAAGCCAGTGTGCTCGTTCTCATCAGTAGAGGCTGGTCTACTAACCTACTTTGTCTCCTACCTAGTCATCAGCATGTTGCATGCAGCTCATCCTATGCACTTCCACACAGACTGTCTTCCAGAGATAATGAATGGAGCTGCCAAACCAGGAGGAAAGCAGTGAGCTTTGAAAGCATAGTCTGTCTGTTTTGAAAGAGTAGCACATCGAATATCCAAGCCCCTAAAGGTAGAGCAAATTTATCTTCAAATAAAAAAAGGCATGAAGATCTAGTACTGAGGAAAAAGTAGGGTTAGGAAGGCATTAAACAGTGCTTCTTTCCATAAGCAAGATCACAGACTATTCAGCAGTGACAACAGTGAAATGTTAATGAGACAAAGATTTGAGAGACTGAGGAGAGCTATAGAATCACAGAATCGTAACGTTGGAAGGGACCCTGAGGATCATCTAGTCCAAACACCTGCAATGCAGCAATAATAATAATAATAATAATAATAATAATAATAATAATTTATTTATACCCCGCCCATCTGGCTAGGTTTCCCCAGCCACTCTGGGAGGCTTCCAACAAAATATTAAAATACAATAGATCCGTTCTGGAGCCCCGTTTGCATCCTGAAGTGAATGTAAGATGCAACTGCGTGTGCGCGGGTTGCATTTCACCGCTTCTGTGCATGCGCGTGACGTCATTTTGAGCGTCTGCGCATGCGCGAGCGGCAAAACCTGGAAGTAATGTGCTCCATTACTTGCAGGTCGCCGCAGAGCTCAACCCAAAAATATTAAAGCTGAAGTGTATTCATCCCAAGGTATGACTGTAGTTGCTTTTCTCTGACATCTGGTGGGAGGTAATACTAATAATTTATTATTTATATGCAACTGTCCCTTACAGCAACCTGCAACCTCAGCACCATGCTCTAACCAACTGAAAGGCTATCCAGCCCTTTTTTCAACATCTCCAGCCCCACTCAGATAAGTTCATTTGATTTGTCCCATAGAACTAAAAGAACCAAATGAGAGCCACTGAGAACTAAGTTCCTGTCTACAGAACTCTGCTAGAGTGTGACCGAGGAAGTGTGGTAAAAGGTTTGAAGAGTGTGACAAAGAGAAAGAATTTGGGAAACCTGCTAATATTATATGATGTATTGAATTCTGAAAACAACTGAAGCTATATTTTGCACAAGCCAATATTTCAGAGAAACAGCTACTGATTTACTGCATTTTCTAATTCATATGCAACAATGCTTAAGTTTTTTGGGGGTTTTTACCATAACAGTGTGTGCATGCACATACAGATTTCTCTCTAGATAACAGAAATGTAAGAATGTCATCACATAGCCCCCATTAAAGGATTTGCAGTGCCATGTCACAATCATGGATTTGCATGAAGTCAGCAAGGGGTAGGAGAGCAAAAATGAAGGCAGACTGCACAGCAGCAGTGGCCATGGCATGAAAATGAGAAGGGAGAGACACTGAGAGGGGGAAAGTGGTGATTTTTTTAAAAAAATGTTAGAAGTTTGTGTAGAGTGGACAGGAAGACACTGAGGGGGAAAGTGTCCATTTAAAACAAGGTTCAAGTAAAGTAAGAAGGAAGTTTGGAAAGGGGAGGATGAGGCATGGAAATGGGGGTGGTTTGCGTGCAATGGAGATGTAAGAAAAGTAAGGAGCAGTAGGAAAAGTAAAAAGGGAGTGAAGGTGAAAAGCAGGGCGCAAAAAGAGTAGATGGCATGAAAATGTGGGTGAAGATGAAAGCAGAGGCATGAAAGGATTAATAATTGGGTGGGAGGTGAAAAGGGTGCTTAGTAGTTGCTATGTGTAGGAGGGGAAATATGTAGATGTTTCCCATGGGAGTAATTTGTGTACAAGTAGGATTGCATGGAAGAAGGGGGAAGAGGCATAGGGATGGGGTGAAGAGGAAAAGGGGTGTACATCAGGGCTGCAGAACAGAAGAGAGAAGTGGCCTTAGCTGCATGTGGTGGGAATGGAAGCTTTGGGGCATGAATGTGGGAGGAATGGAAGTGGAGTTGGTGAGCGGAAGCAGAAGGGGCACAGACCTCAGTTGTATTATACACAGAAATACGTGGACACACCAGTGCTTTACGTTCAGTCTAAAAGCCTAGTCTATTGAATGACAACCTCACCTGTCTTCTAAGTGCAGAGAAATCCCAATGGAGTAGAAAACACTCTGTCACTCATGATACTGTGGAATCATGGAAAGAACACAAAGAGAACACCCACAACATGGAAGAGACAACTGAAGGGGGAAATCCATTGAACAGAAAATATATATTTCAAAAACAATTGGTAAAATTTGGCATGCTGGCCATGTGACAGGTATCTTATAAGGACAAGAAGGTTACATTAGCCCTCGTTAACCTATAGTCCTGTTTCCTGCCTTTCTATAGCCAGGCCTGATGCATGAAGCCTGAGGGATAGCTTAGTCAGTAGAGCACGAGACTATCAATCTCAGAGTCATGGGTTCAAGCCCCATGTTGGCCAAAAAGATTCCTGCCTTGCAGGGGGTTGGGCTAGATGACCCTAGGGATCCCTTCCAACGCTACAGTTCTATGATTCTATGTTAACCTGTAACATTGGTGACCAGTGCAGACATCTGCTAGGTGAAATTGCTGGAAGCCCCTGCATGGTGATGCAGGGAGCCAACATGACCCTACCAATGACAAGGACAACTGTCCAGCTGGCAACTGTAGGAGGGAACACACTTCAGTGTTTGTGTGTGTGTGTGTGTGTGTGTGTGCACGCGCGCACGCACACGCCCAACTAGATATTTATAATAATAATAATTGCATGTTCTGGCTGATGGGCTCTCTGAAACGGGTGTAAAATGAGAAGAACTCTTGACATTACCCTTTGAAGTGTTTATATTCTGTAACCATGTAAGAACAAGCCATTTTCTCTAGATTGCATATTGCATTTAAGGAAGAACTGGGGGGGTTATAATTTACTTAAATCATTTTAAAGATTTTCAGCAGCAAACATGGCAATTATTCCTCTCGAGCAATGGTAACAACTTCCTCCTTATCAGTACTAGAACATTAGCCCCAAACTAGCAAGAGAGGCTTGATAACTGTTCAAGTGTGATATTTTGCGGGGGAAAGGGGTGAAGCTGAAGAGACGAATCTCTTTGTTGGAAGAAAGGCTTCTTGTTCCATTTTATTAATTCCCCAAAGCATCTCCTAGCCCCATGCAAGTTGAGTCATAAACTAGCTACTGAACTAGTCGATACCACTCCTAAGGAACACATACATATATAGGGATACTGAGATGGCCTTTGATTTATGTGGATGTGCATGCACATCCATCCTTTTACACACAGCAACACTTTTAGATAGGTATCTGTTTTAAAAAAGAAGTGGCTCTATGATTACTGTGTAGCTGTGGGTGTTATTCATCATGGGCACTATTAACCCTACAATAACCACACAAAATTTTGAACACATCAGCACTAGTAACCCTCTCCCCTAGAAACAATATACTGTATATTTCCAACATAGTTCTCTTCCACAATGTTTTCCGCCCGGCAACCCTGTGAGGTAGGTTGGCGGACAAGGAGTGACTAACCCAAACTTTATGGCTGAGTGGGGGTTTGAACTGTGGTCTCCAAGGTCATAGTCCAACACTCTAAACACTGCATAGCACTGCCTCTCAATATAATGAAACAGTGGTTTTCAACCAGTGTGCCGTGGCATCCTGGGGTGCCTTGAATGATGGTCAGGGGTGCTGCAGGCAACAGTGACACCTGTCCTTCTTTCCTTCTCTCCCTCCTCTGGTGTCCTCTTGCATCTCAGCATCCCAAATGCTTGTGCATCTGTTTGTTGCAGCAGCCCTGGCTGCAAGCTCCCCAGCCTCTGGGGCTTGCCAGGGGGTGCTGGTTGACAGGATCTGAGGTAGCCTTGCTGTCAGCAAGCAAGTGGCCAAGGTAGCCCAGCCAGCCAGTCCACCAGCCGTTGCTGTTAAGAATGGACAGACTAGGGCAGGGGTCAGCAACCTAAGGCCCATGGGCCACAAGCGGCCCATGGGGGTCTTTTAACCAGCCCATGGACCCCTGCCTCAGGGCACTCAGGGACCCCCACTGCCCACTCGGTCGGCTCCTGTGTGCCGTACTAAACTGGCACAGAGCAGAGCGGGGACCGCCTTCCGCGACACTGGCCGTCTTCCCATTGGCTGCAGGAAGCTCCTGCAGCCAATGGGAAGCTGCGCACACCTCCTCCATGCTGGAAGGAGCACCGGAAATAGCATCTGCATGTTTGCCCGTGCGTGCACACGCACTCCGGCCCACTGCGGCGTTTGCGGGACTGTGAACCAGCCCCAGCCACAAAAGCTTTGCCAACCCCTGGACTAGGGGTAGGCCGGGCAGGCAGGCACTGTTCTGACCTTTCTTGTGCTTGCTGTGTGCAAGGCCTGCCAGAGAGCTGAGTGCCCACTGCTGCCACTGCTGCTTCCCAAGATAAGGTGCTGGCCTCACATTCACATCTGGCCAGTCTCCATTGGGCCACTAAGGCTGGGGGGTATCCTCTTCCCAGGTCCCTGTGGGGCAGTGTGAAGAGGCACCCCTCTTTGGAGTGGGGGGCAGCTCAGAGACCAGAGGACTCCCAAGGAGAGGGGAGAGGGGGAGAGGAGAAGAGGCTGAGGGAACACTCCACAAGGGGGTTCAAAAAAGGGTGAGAAGCTATCAGCTACTCAGGCAAGGGGTCACCTAACTGGGCTCCTGAGCCCCACAGGGGTGCCACGGAAAGAAGGTAGTTGGTCAAGGGAGCTGGGGAATCTAAAAGGTTGAAAACCCGAAACCTGTGAAACCAGTTTAACCATAGTGCATAGTGGGAAATAAAAATAAAAATGTGTAGAAAAGCCAGCAACAGCACTACAATACTACCTTCAAGTCTCTCAAGAGATGTCATTTGTTCACACTTTTTTGTGAGAGGGACAGTCAATACAAATGGGTCCCTCCTTCCTTCAAGCTGTGCAGGCCAGCCTTTAGCATGCATGCCATGTGGCAGCTGCATCAGCCAATAAACATACCCTTATTATTAAATCCCCTGAGGGTTTGGCATCCCCAGAGGGGGCACTATTATAATGTATTTATTCTGATCATTTTGTACCATATCAGCCATCAATAAAAGCCTTAGCTCCACTGTCTGGTACATCGGTTTGCTGCTGCTCTGTGACAAGGCATCAAAACCCATTGGCATCCCTGACCAGAATCTGTCATGAGCCTCAGAAACCTCAGCACTGTTTGTCCTCTGTCCTCTGGAGACTCAAAGCACTGTTTATTTCCTGACACTTTCCATTGGAGAGGATTTCTCCTTTGAATCTCCTTTGTGGTGCTATACAACAATTTACGGCTAAAGGCCCAGGAACCTTCTCTACGTCTAGCTTCAGTAAAAGAAGTTGTTTGAAGGAAATGATATGTGGCTGTTTGTGGGGTGAGTGGGGACAATCCAACAGACACCGGGACATATGCATCAATTATGTGGCTCTTTTAGGCAGCTAAATAACCAACTTACGCTCCCACGAGCAACATAAAATAAGGACAGTAGCCATGGCACTGTGTGGGCTGGGAGAGGATAAGCCTCCTGTGATAATTGAGTCACCTTCCCTTCTAACCACTCAATCAGAAGAAAAGACTTCTCCTGTCTTCCTGTGGCAATGGGTGGAAGAAACCAGGATAATTGTGGGAATGAGCATATTCCTTCAGTTCCTCCTTATCATCATTCCACGGTGGTTGTTTCATTGTGATTTGAGTTCTGCTCCAATTATCTCCTGGAAGAAAGACTCAATTTTGGGGTGAAGGGAAATGGGGGAGGCGGGGCTGTGGGAACGTTTATATAATTTAGCAGAGTTTAAACGATCCCCTGTTTCAGTTTATGCAGTGACAAGCGGGTTGCTAACTCGTTTGAGTCCTATCAATAGTTATACCTTCCTGGTTGATAATCCCTTTCTGTCCCTTTTAAAGAAAACACAAATGAATCTGAATCATATTAACATAAACTACTTTATTCATTCAGATTCATTCAGGTTTACAGAGTTGTTCCAGAAGGCAGGCTTAGGTTACGTAATAGATAAACTATATACTATATAGTAGTGAATCATGAGAAGACTGCGTCTGAGCAGTTACCAGTTAACACTCCTTGCAGCAACCGACCAACCGACAGAACTGCCTGCCACATAGAGGCAGTTAGTCCTCTCAGAATGTTGGACTTGACTGACAGCTTTATATCCCACAGGGGCGGGGGTTGTGCTGAAAAGCTTTCAAACATGCCCCCTCCCACTTCCTACCAGTGTTCCTGCACAATATAAAGAACATCAACAAAAAACAACCCACTTCAAAAATAGCCACTTTGTCATAAAATTAGAATAATAGAATCATATAATTGAAGGGCCCCTGAGGAGTCATGTACTCCACCCCTGCAATGCAGGGATATTTTGCCCAACGTGGGGCTTGAATTCAGGACCCTGAGATTAAGAGTCTCCTGCTTTACCTACTGAGCTATTTTAAAGGATTCTCATTTTAAAACAACAGCACATGTAATGAAATGTTTCTTATGGTATGAGAAATAGGGCTTTTGGGTGGTGGCCCCCATGACTATGGCATGCCTTCCCAAGTTATGACACCCTCAATACCAGCTTCTAAACAGTCTCTTAGATCACACTTCTGGGCCACTTTGTCTCAAATGACTTACTTTTAGAAAAGCTTTGAGAATTGTTTTAACTAATTTGGAATGGTGTAATGCTGGCCTGGGTATTATTCGTTGGGTATAAGTTGTTGAAACTGGCTGTTTTTAGTGAAATGTGACTTGCATTTTATGATTGGCTTCTGCAAACCTCCTTTCAAGGGCTTTGCCCTTAAAAACAGCTTAAAATTGTTGCATTAGAATTCTTTGGCATTGTATTGCAAAGTTGCTGTGCTCCTACCAGAAGAAAAAAGACCTCTCACAAGTGCACATCAGTGCTCCTGCATAACATAAAATCACCATAATCAGCAATAAGAAACACTTCAAAAATAAGCACTCTGGGCTAGAAAGGGCTATGTTTTTGGTTTTTACAAAAAACTTATTTTTTATTGTGTGCATTCTGGAAAGACAATTTGGAAAGAACTCCAGATGCAGCCGTTATGAAATTTGTTCTGGTAAACCCTCCTGGTTATACAGAACACCAAAATCTCAGAAGACGTTCAGCGGAAGAGAATTTTGTAAACATCCCTAGATGACTGACAAACAAGGGAAGCAGGAATGTCATGCTTCATTGCATATATTGACAAATGAAGGGAGAAGGGGTCGGAATTTGTATGCTATCTTCTATTCACAATTATATTCATGATTCCATCCCCCTTCAGTTCACCATGGTTGCATTGTGTTTATTCCTGATGCACACTAAACAATGCTTATCCAGGCTTGAGAACAAAGGGTGGATTTTAAAAATAAATAAGTAAGTTAAATTAAAACCTACCCAACTATTTGTGTTTAGGGACTGCAGTTTCTTGTCGGCTTTATCCTGAATTAGTCCACGAGTTGCCACTGTCAAATTGTGGGTAGAGCAAGCGGTACTGCGGCACTTCTAATTCCATCTCAAGCGATGAAACAGGACATGCCATTCCTGCTTCTAGCTATAAAACCCCCAAGGGCTATTTGGGGGGGGGGATATTTGTGGATATCCTTTATCTTCTCCTCCGCCTTCTTTTCCTCCCCTCCACATCTCAGAGATCAATTAAAAGTGGTGATCAGACCTCCCCCTCCGATCCACTTTAAATTTTTTAATTGCAATGGCTCAGCAGCCAGCATTTCTTTATTAGGAAACTCATGGAGTGTTTAGTCCAGGCTTCCTCAACCTCCAGATGTTTTGAGACTACAGTTCCCATCATGCCTGACCACTGGTCCTGCTAGCTAGGGATCATGGGAGTTGTAGGCCAAAAACATCTGGAGGGCCGAGGTTGAGGAAGCCTGGTTTAGTCCTTTATTGTAAATTGAGTCTTACAATACAAGCCTTTGCACGTCTACTCAGAAGTAGACCTAATTCATACAAAGTAGCTGCCATGTAGAGATGGACTGTCCCTATATATGCAACACATATGCAATGTGATTCAGCTGCCACTCATTTTTCTTCACACCAATACAGACCAGCCATGAGAATGTTTATGGTGGTGTGGATACAGAATGTGTAAAAGGCACATTGTTCCACACGAACAACTTCTTGCATGCAGCGAATGCCATGTGACTTTTGTTTCCTTCCACATGAAGGCCATTTTGTGCAATACTGATGTGATAGAATGAGCACATAGAAGAGTCTGCAAAGTACTTAACAGTCTAAAGAAAGTTTTGGCTCAAAAGAAAGCAGTAAGAAAATATTACTTGCTTTCTCACAGTGCCACTCCTATTAAAAGTTACCATTTTCAACAATTTTTCATACACTAAATGCTAAATTGACACTGCTAACTTTCTGCAAACTATAACACAGGAGTGAGAATAATTTATTACAGCCATATTCCAATAAAAATATTGACTCCCCAAAATTAAACTATATGGCCATAATGGGCCAACTGTATTGTTGATTTAAATATAATTGAATGTCAGCTGGCAAAGTAATAGTTTTTTAACCAAAAATTTTCCACCCACCACCATGTATACTTCAAATGAGTAACACTGCAGTGAAAACATGACATTCCCAGACAAGTCATTCATATTGTGACAACTTAAATTACCCCCTTCCAAATGTGTTGATGGAAAACAGATTTATGTTTGTTCCAAGAATCACACTTCTTGTTTGAGAATAGTTTAAGTTCAGCTAGATTCATCAAAAAGTGAAAACAAGGGAAATAAAGAAAGCAGATATTTCTAAGGTTTACTTTCACTACAAAATCCATATAATGTTTAATCTGAAAAGTCACGACACCATCCAGCTTTGCCCTCTGGTGAAACAAATCTTCATGTAGTTTGTGAATGGGAGAGGGAGCTACATCCAGAAAGCTTGCCTTCACACCTCGTACTTACACTTTCTCTTACACACACACACAGCACAACTCTAAGAGATTTCTGAAACCACTCCCCTCTTTAGATGTTCCCCCTCATGCATTGACAGAAGGGTCAGGGCATCAGGGGTGCAATGGTGGGATTGGGACCTGTGGAGGCAGACCTGTTCCTTTAATTATAGGAGTGTGAATGCATAGAAGGGGCTAGAATCAGATGTGTACTTTAGCAAGGGTTCAGCTTCTGCCCACCCCCAGCCTCTGGAAAACTTTGCATATAAAGTTGTCCATTGTTTTCCCTTTGACCCAGAGTAAATCAGATACAATTAAACATAAAAATGTATTCTGATCATAGCCACGCCAATGAAGCAACAATATCCATGTTGGAATTTGAACCTGATAGATTCCCATGACACCTCTAGTCGCATCTGAAACTATCTTAAACTCATGCACTGTGGTTTAACTGCTTCCCTGCTCAAGCTGAAAACAAGTTAGATTCTCAAACATGCCAAGATCCAGGCAGGCAGTCCCTGTATTTTCACAAGAGCACAGCATCCTGGGTAAGTCAGAGCAGAATTCTTTTGAAACTATTGACCTAGTTGTGGATGCTGAGCTCTCTAGAAAATGTAGCATACAGGTCTTGCATTGATTTTTTTAAAAAGAAAAATTCACCTTGAACAACTTTAGCTGCAAGCAAAAATAAAAAAGGTATACAAAATAACATTTGGATCAAGAGAACAGGGAAGATATTGGTAAGGAAGGGATCCACTTACGTGATTTTAGTACGGAAAAGGTATTTCACATTATTCTTTACACATTCTTTTAAGAGTTAACTTCCTAGCCTTGTGTGTTTTAGGATAACCCCCCCCCCCTTTACCCCACTATAGTTGTTCCAAGTCAATCATTGGACTGGGCAACAGCTAGATTCTGGCTTTTCTCGTGTTGTTCTAGCCTTTTCTATGAATGCCTCTTGCTAGCCTGTATCCGCAGCCAAACTTCTTCAGATGGATTCCCATGTTTGTTATTAATCCTGGGTCGGCACTGACTCTCACTGACCAACTCCTAGGTTCTCCTGGTGAATTTGAGTGGGGAAAGATTTGAGCATGTAAAATGCATTTGGCCCAAATATATAGCAAAACAACGATACTGTAAAAACAGATTCACAAATCAACAGTACATCAAAAATTTGAACAACTGGATGGGTGTAAACTCATTTCACACTAAAAAGCTCTTTAAGTTCAATATCAAGTGTAATCTAAGCATTATGGCTTAACTGGATCATGCTGCCAAGTCCTACATAAGCAACTGTTCTAGCACACCAGAGTGGCCTTGGACAATATGACCACCAATCTGGGGTCCATTCTTTGGTCATTATTTAGCCAGCTTTCAGATGCTCATTCTCCAACTATGCACTGTAATGAAACTTCCGCTGTTCTTGACATCTACTCCAAGAGGTCTTCAAGAATCAAAGCAAGGTCAATGGGGATTTTCATTTAAGAGGAACATTCACTTTGGATTTCTATTAAATCTCTAGCAATTTTTTTCAGACAGATCAAGGCTTTTTGCAAGAAAGCCAGGTAATCAAGCCCTAAATTTATAACTTAGTGTAAGAGTGGGCAGCTAGCAGCATTTAGACCTCATCCACGCCCTTAAGCAATTTATTTAGCCTGGAGACTCCTGATGAAATCATGCCAATTTCGGTTCTCTTTTTTAAAAATGTTTCTAACCTTTCAAAATAGTGGGGGAAAGCTTGAGAACACAGAGCCTGCAGGCACAAAAAAAAATTGGAAGCTGGCAATACTAAGTCTGTCAAACCAGCTGGTGCTTATAGTGCAGCTGCCAGGACCCAGTTTGAATATATCAGAGACTGTCCTGTCGCAAAAACTGCAATAAACTGCTAATTGAAAGCTACAGTGTTGACTTAAAGAGTTAACCACCATCGAAGTCCTTGACATAACTTCAATACACACAGCTCCGGTGGGGGGAAAGTGGCCAGAATAACTTGTTCCAGTCTGACCGCTGTCCTACACAGTGGGGCTGCTTTTAAAAACAGTTTGGAACAGTCACTTGGTCCAAAGCAGGATCACAGGATGATTATCTGGGACAGGGCAGTTTGACCATATTATGCCTGTCCTTTGACACATGTACTGGATCCCAGTACATTTCCAGGCCCAATTTAAAGTGCTTTTGAAAAAAGAAGAAAAAAATTTGGAAGCCCTAAATGGCTTGGAGCCAGACAGGGGCATTCTGAGGTGGGGGCAGGGTGTGTGACAAAATGCCGACCCCAGATTGGTGGCACCCACTGGGGCACACGCCACGCTCCCTGGGAAGAGCACCGCTCTGGGTACCGGAGAGGGTTGCTCCGCTTCTGGAGCCAGACTTTCCAAAAAAACGCCTTTTCCCATATATTCCTACTCAACTTCAAAATCCTCTTCAGAGACCCTGCTCTGAGTGCTGCTGTCAAATGAAGTAAGGTGGGAACCCACCAGGGTGGTTTGGGTAGTGGCACCTCAGTCCTAAATGGTGCCAAGAGAACTT